CGAACAACACTCGAAAAACAGCAATGCTAGCAAATCAGCAAACAACGCCGCCGGTGGTCGGCGGCGGCCGGCAGTGGTTGGCGGCGATCGGCGGCGGCCGTGAGTTGAGCGGCGACAGTAATAAACAAAATCTTAATGGACAAAAAAACCCTAATAGACATCAAAACCCTAATGGGCACAAAAACTAAGTTAAAAATTTTTTTTGAAGAAACCTAGAGCTCTATACCATGTTAATAATAAGAAAAGAAAATAATTCTTCCTTAATTACTCCAAATGATTGATACAAGGCTATATAAATAGCAGTCACAAAGAAGATACTAAAAAGAAATTTTTGCCTATTAGGATAAGAAATACTTACCTATTAGGACAATAAAACCCTAACCTAAATAAAATAGGAAACCTTTAAAATAAAATAAACTATAATTTAACAAATTCAATGGCCCATACCCACCAATCTCAAGGAACTCAGGGGCTTTCTCGGCTTGACGGGTTATTACCGGCATTTCGTGGCGAATTATGGGGTTATTGCCGCACCACTCACGCAACTCTTAAAGGACGCATATGTTTGGTCTGATGCTGCCACAGAAGCATTCAAGCGACTCAAACATGCAGTGATCACCCTGCCGGTCCTCACCTTGCCCGATTTTAGCCAACCGTTCATAATGGAAACAAATGCTTCAGGTACCGGCCTCGGAGCAGTGCTATCGCAGGGGCAGCGACCCATTGCTTTCTTTAGTCAGACATTATCACCCTCTGCACGGTATAAATTAGTGTATGAGCGGGAATTGATGGCCATTGTGTTGTCCGTACAGCGGTGGCGGCCGTATTTATTAGGCCAGAAGTTCTTGGTGTGTACCGATCAACAGGCCTTGAAGTTTCTACTTGAGCAGAAGGTCACCCCCCCAGATTATCAACGCTGGGTGTCGAAGTTATTGGGCTATGATTTTGAAATCCAGTACCGCCCAGTCTGGAGAACAAGGCCGCTGACGCTCTTTCAAGGCTACCCCCCCACGGAGGATGACATATCTCCGGTCGAAGCTCTCTCCAGCATGCCCCCCACGGTACACCTGGCCACCTTAACCGCCCCAGCCATTCTTGATGCAACAATTATTCAGGGGGAGGTAGCTCAAGACTCGGATCTCAGTAAGGTCATCGAGAGCCTACAAGAAGACCCCGACAGTATCCCTCGCTTCTCCTTACAGCAAGGAAAATTGCTCTATAAAGGCCACCTTGTCCTCTCACGCCAGTCATCCTTGATACAGGCCGCTCTTCACACCTACCAAGTCTCTGTCTTCGGGGGCCATTCGGGTTTCTTGCGCACATATAAACGGTTGACTGGTGACTTGTATTGGCAAGAGATGAAGCAAGATGTGAAAGCCTATGTCGAGCGGTGCGATATATGTCAACGCAACAAGCACCTTACCACATCGCCTGTCGGATTACTTCAACCTCTCCCTCGACCTGACCGCATTTGGCAAGATATTTCCATGGATTTCATTGAGGGCCTCCCCAAATCAGCTTCCTATGATGTCATCTTCGTGGTGGTAGACCGCTTGAGTAAGTACGTGCATTTCATCCCCGTTGGCCACCCCTTCACAACCAAATCGATTGCAACCTCCTTCCTGAAAGAAGTCGTCTGCCTCCATGGTTTTCCACGATCCATTGTTTCTAACCGAGATAAGATCTTTTTGAGCCACTTCTGGACTGAACTATTTCGCCTCGAAGACACCAAACTCCATCGCAGCACCGCCTACCACCCACAAACCAACGGCCAAACAGAGATAATTAACAAGTGCGTAGAGACTAGGGGTGTTCACCATGCACCGAAAAACCGCTCCGACCGACTCGGTCGGTTTCAATAGCAGGTCGGTCGGAGTCGGTTTTGCCTTTTATAAAACTGACTAGTCGGTCGGTCGATGGTTTCAGAAGAAGAAAAACTGACCGACCGACCGACTTTTTCATTTTTATAAATGTATATTAAGGAACATGATGCGTTCCTCGAGATGGTTTGGAGAAAAATCTAGGAGCCCATGGTTTTCTCGAAACCATACAACCCTCTATTTATTTATTTCTCTTTCCTCTCTCATCTCCATTTTCCAATATCACTGACATTTTCATTTATTATCTCTTCCTCTTTCTTCCCATTTCCCAAAATATTCCTCTCACCCTTCTCTCTTCACTTCACTGCCGTTCTTTCTTCTTCATTTATTCTTCTTTTCATCTTCTTCCTCTCTTATTTTTCTACTTCCACATTCCCATTTCATATATTTTTCTTTTTACCTATCTTCTTGTATAATAAACCCCTCCTTCCATCTCTCTCCCTTATCCACACTCTCCCAGCCACAGCTCGCCACCGCATCGCCCACAAACGACTCACACTCACCATCTCCTCTGTCGCATCGCCCTCGCCGCCGTGACGCCGTCCATCTCCATCGCTCAAAAACCCGTCGTCCATCGGTCACTTTACACCGTGACCCAGGCATTGCTGAGATGCAACCCCCGTCGCGACCCAGACCTACAGCCGTCGGTCCACCTCTCGGATTTTGCACACAGTTCACACACTGATATTAAAAAATAATAGTCGGTTTTGTCGAAAACCGATCGACCGAACTGATCATTTCGTCGGTCGGTTATATCTTATTTAAGCGGTCTGTCGGTTGGGATTTCGGCCTAAAAACCGACCCGACCGACCGATGGCTCAAATATATGTATATATATTAAAACTTAAACTTTTTAACATGATCGAAATCTAAAATACACTTTAAACTTTTTTCTTATATATTTAACTATATTGAAAATCATCTACCATATTATTCCAATTCTAAACATACCACCCAAGTTTTTAAGTAAGTAAGAACAGATTTGCCAAACCGAGCATAACTCAAGTGGTTAAAGCACTTATCTTTGACCAAAAGATCATGAGTTCGAACTCGTCCCATAGTTGAAAAAAAAAGTAACAACAGAGTTGAATCAAATAGGATAAAAAATTAAATCCCCCAAGCAAAAAAAAAATAAAAAATAAAAATTACATTGCTTCGGTCNTCACACACTGATATTAAAAAAAAATAGTCGGTTTTGTCGAAAACCAACCGACCGAACTGACCATTTCGTCGGTCGGTTATATCTTATCTAAGTGGTCGGTCGGTTGGGATTTCGGCCTAAAAACCGACCCGACCGATCGATGAACACCCCTAGTAGAGACCTACCTGTGTTGTTTCTGTTCAGAGAGACCGAAGCAATGGAGCAATTGGCTAGCTTGGCAGAGTATTGGTACAACACCACGTACCACGTCTCCATCAACACCACTCCGTTTCAAGTTGTCTATGGCCGACCCCCACCTCCGCTGATGTTCTATGGGGATCAACGTACTTCCAACGCCACCCTCGACTAGCAACTGGCGGAGCGTGATCAGGCCTTGCACTGTCTCAAGAATCATCTGGCAGAGGCGGAAAACCGGATGAAAAAGTTTGCAGATCGACATCGGAGACATGTAGAATTTGTTGTGGGGGATTTGGTCTACCTCAAGCTCCGCCCCTACCAGCAACTGTCTCTGGCAAAGCGCCGTTGTGAGAAATTGACTCCTAAATACTTCGGCCCCTGGAACATGTGGGCTCTGTCGCCTACAAGCTGGAATTGCCCACAAATGCAACTATTCACCCTGTCTTCCATGTCTCCCAGCTGAAACGAGTCGTGGGCAACCAACACCATATCCAGAACCATCCCCCGACCTTCACCGAGGGCTATGAATGGGTGGTGGAACCCCTGTACATTATGGGACTCCGACGCAGCCCTGACAATGGCGATTGGGAGCTTCTTGTGCAATGGAAGGATCTCCCGGAACACGAAGCAACGTGGGAAACACTCACAACCATTCGCCGGCAATTCCCTCACTGTCACCTTGAGGACAAGGTGTCTTTCTCTCCCAGGGGTAGTGTGAGGCCCCCTATAGTAAATACCTACGCTAGGAAGGGCAAAGGGGTAAATTCCCCTTAATTGTTTGTAGGCAAATCTTTGTGTGTAGGGGGGGTACTTATGTAGTAGAAAGGTGGTTTTTTTATCTTGTGGTAGTGTGGTAGGAGAGCTCCCAACCCTCTCCAACGGTTGGGCCCCCTTTTGTAAGCCTTAGGACTCTTTGTTCTTATTTTGAATACCAGTAAGGAGATACTTTACAGAAACCCTGAAACTTTCCAAGAAGTGGACCCATATGGAATGAGCGAACTTACACCCCCAAGATCAAATTATCAAGTTCCTTCGATGAATCTCTTGCACAAAACACACCACTAAAGCCCTAGACACATGGGTTGTAGAGAACCCTAGGAAATGTATTTATTATAGTGTACAACACACTTCTTCTTCTTGAGGTAGTATTTAAACTAGTAATTATAGTCATACCATGATTATTAAGGATTGGAAGACCTTCTTGTTTAGTGTTGGGAGGGGTTGATCTCCACCTTGGCTGCTAGGCTGTACCTTCTTTTGGTTCATTAATACTTCGTTTCTTATCAATAGAAAAAAATAAATAATAAAACCCTAGGGAATGTACTATCTGAATGGAAATGGCAATCTGCTGTGCTAAGTCCACAGAAGGGATGCTGAGAGGACTATCTCTCTCCAACCAAGCCTAACCAACAAGTAGCTTACCTCATATTAGTGCCCCTCTTCACATATGAAGTAACGAACTCAATCCTATTTACTCCTCCGCTGGCCCGGCTGTTGCTGGGTCTGTATGATGTCTTCCCTTACATATCTTGTGTTGTCTCAGAAAACCTTATTTGGTTTTTCACGGAAACTTTTTCTTCATTTTGCATCTTTGATTAGAATTCTCTTGCGCTGGAATTAAGTTTTAGTTCATTTCTGTAAATTTCATTACTTCCTGTCTCGGATGCATCGGCCGTTTGCTAGTATGTTTCATGGTTTACTGCAAGTTCATGTTGCCATAGGATTTTAAAATTTACCATTGGATTATGAACCTAGAACCTTAGTGAAAATTAATTGTGCAGTTCGATTTAAAGATCTTTTGGATGATCCACTTGCTGATTTGTCTAATCAACTAAAATCTAGTGGAGATGTCTGTGCAATCATCTATTGCCTAGAACGTGCAACGTGCGACCAATTGGCAGCTAATCTAACAAAAAATGACATTTCATGCGCTGGTAAGTAAAATTTTTTATACTCTTGGACTTGGATCTTTAACTCTTCGGTTTTCATATATATATATTTACATGCTGCTGGTTCCTGTTGGCCTTCAGCTTATCATGCCGGTTTAAAGAATGATTTGAGGAAGTCTGTTTTGGAGGATTGGATAAACTATAAGATACAGGTCGTTGTGGCCACAGTAGCTTTTGGGTATAGTAGTCTATATAACTTTACCCTCATTTAACCTCACTCCTCCATTCATTCTTGGCATATTTAATTTTTTTTTTATCATAAATGTCTTGAAATTTTGGTATTTGACCCTATAACTGAGAATATAATTTTAAATTGCACTTGATGTCATAATGTTCTAGAAGCCACGCCCTAATAAGATGAGAAAGATAAGATAACCATGATTATCTTTCAGTATTTCACTCTTTCACTCTTTTGAGGTTTTTAATCGTTAATGCTCATCTGTTTTGCCAACCTTCCTAGTCCCAGATTTTTAATACTAGCTGTTGACTACTTGACTGTTGAATTTACTTTATCTTTGGAATTGGTTCAATGACAGCTTCCTCGTTATTATTTGTTGCAAGGAAAGTCCTCTATATTACTCCCTGTCATGTTTTTTGATGTATCCTTTTGTTTCAATAGTACGATGTACCTAAGTTTGTGATTTTCCTTTCATTATGCCCTTTTGCCTAGAGCCATTTTGGTGTGTGCACAGTTACTGAACTAGTGGTACTCCTTCAGGATGGTATGGATTTACCTACTTTTTATTAGTTAAATTTTGGGCATGTATGTTCTAGTTTCAGTGCACGAGAAGCATTGATTTTGCTATTTTCATGTTGGTGTCTTACCTAGGGTATAGATAGAAAAGATGTCAGAGTTGTTTGCCACTTCAATATTCCAAAGTCAATGGAAGCTTTTTATCAAGAGTCAGGTAGAGCTGGCCGTGATCAATTACCCTCTAAAAGTTTGTTATATTATGGAATTGAAGACCGTCGAAGAATGGTTAATTTCTGGACTTGAACTTGAACTTGCTGTTCTCTTCTCTCTTTAGGCTGCATTTTTCTGATTTCAAATTTTTTTTAACATTCTTTGCTGTTGCAGGAATTTATTCTAAAAAATAGCTCCAGTGCTGATAAGAAAATCCTACCATCTTCAAGCTCCCAAGAGCGGTTATCAGAGAAGTCCTTAACTGACTTTACTCAGGTGGGGTTCTTCTGCATTTGTAATCTGACAATGACATTGTTTGCCATTCCATTACTTTTATGTCCTAGCACAACTGAATGCAGATGGTTGAGTATTGTGAGGCCTCTGGATGTCGCAGGAAGCGTATTCTTGAGAGTTTTGGGGAACAGGTAGGAGGAAGATCCATATGTACAATTGGTGTTAGTTTTCTTCTCAACTCTTGAATGTTGTCCCAAAATCTAATAAATGTAATTATTGGACTAGGTTCCTGCATCCATATGTAAAAGATCATGCGATGCCTGCAAACACCCAAATATTGTCGCTGCCAATTTGGAGGAGCTAAGTGCTACTTGTGCTGTTAAGCGCAATAATTCATCTTCTAAAATTTTTGTCAGCAGGTGCTTGTCTTAAAAATATTTTAAATTTTAAAATTTATCATTGAAAAGGCTAGCTGTAAATCTTAGAGGCCACTTATTTTGTAAAGTAATATCTTATGAGTTTCTTAATTTTTCGTAGGGTTAGGTGGAAGTCTAGTAGGGCTAGTACATATACTCACAAAATTTGACGAATTAAAATTGATCTATACGTTTTTAGTTAGAAATCCTCTCTTCATCTGCTTAAATTTGTTGTATTCAATTTTATTATATGTTTCGTCCTTGACTCCCTAGATTTAGACAGTGGTAAGTGTCCCATAATTCAACTGATGGGAACGTTATTAGTGTGTTTGTTATGGGAATGGTGGTTATGAATAGTGTTGGGGAAACTATAGAGCTTAACAAATATTAGTTAAATACTCTAAAACTAGCTTGGAGTTGGGAGAGAACTCAATCATCCTCGTTTGTAATCCTTTGTTTATCTCGATACAAATATCAGTTTATTTCCTATTAGCGACAAAGTCATCGCTTCAAGCTTTTGGACCCTAAGTTAATAAAAATTGTGAGTTTCTAGAATGAAATTTGATATGTGCAGCAAGAGCCCTATTGTGATGCCTTTGCAAAGAAAGAAATCAGAGGGGTTTTTAACAATATTTCATCCATTATCTTTTTTTTTATATAAATAATAAATAGTATAGTGTACAGATCACTGCTTCTTTGTGGCATGTCTTTTAATCATAGGAAATTCTTTTGTAACTAATGGCTAACTACTTTTCATTAGTCTTTTTTGTTGGAGGGGCCCCTCGTCTCCCTACCCTTAGGCTGTTCTTCCATTTTTTTAATACAATTCTTGTTTCTTATAAATAAAAAAAAAAAATTGATATCTATATCAAATGGTGTCTCAAATCTTTGATCTAGTTACTGACTCAAAAATTCTTTTGTTTCTTCTTTTTCTATAAAAAATCAGCTCAAATATGAGCGATGAAGGAGAGTTTTCTGAATTTTGGAATCGCAAAGATGAAACAAGTGGATCTGGAGAAGATATATCTGATTCTGATGGTATTTATCCTTTGAATGGACTGGACTGCTCCCCCCCTTTTCCAGCCACGTGGCTTCATTTCTTGGTTGTATATACTCTGGATCTATTCTGTTTGGTGGTGGGGTTGAGTTTGAATTTTTCTTTGTCTATGTATATTTGTAATCTCATTTTTCCCAAATCACCAGATGATACTGAGGTTGTCAAAAGCCTTGGAACGAAGTCTCTAAAGAAATCAGGACTAAATGAAAAGATAGCACTTCTAGAACGTGCGGAAGAAAACTATTACCAGAACAAAATCTCAGTTAAACAGGTTTGGCTTGATTCTTTCTTTTTCCCCTTGATATTACAATGGGGGATGAGAGTTTTTGACCAATGAATTAGTCACTTGGCTGGCTCCATCATTTTTTTAAAATTAATACTCTTAAAAACTTGAGCTTTAGGCTGAAAAATAATTTAGTCATTTACATTCTTAACCTCCTATGAACTTGTAATGTGGTAAATTAATTCCTAACTTGTTCAATAAGTTAAATTAGTATAACTTGTTTATTTATACTCGTGTTGTGAGAGATTCTGTCGCAGGTTTGAAGATTGATTGATTTTCTAATTTATGATGATTTGATTATTAGTGGCTTTGTCCATTCATGTGGGATTCATTAACTCTTTTCCTTCCGTGCTTGCTTCTTTCTCAATGGACTGACTATATTTATGATGATTTGATTATTAGTGGCTTTGCCCATTCATGTGGGATTCATTAACTCTTTTCCTTCCGTGCTTGCTTCTTTCTTGATGGACTGACTATATACTTCGTTGCAGAATGATAAACATGAGAAGAATGTTGTATCTGCATCATTTAGGGAAGCTAGCAGAGAAAGATTAGAGAATGCTCTAAAGCAGGCTCAACAACGGCTTGGGACCTTTAAGTAAGTTCAGCTCACCATTATTTTCTCGAAGGAAGAGCTTTTGATATTTTCTTGGTTGAGAAATGTTGATTTAGTGTCGTGTACACCAATTACCTAGTTGAGAATAGCTAGATCAGTAACACTAACAGCAATGCTGTTGTTGTCTTATATAGCAACAACAAATTCTATGTAATTTCTTTCGGTAAATGATTAGTTCAGTCCTTAGAGCGTTCGTGCTCAAAACATGTGTATCTGTACTGCTGCTAGCCACCATTATGGTTTAAAGTTTTTCCACAGCCACCTGCTTGTAATAATCTTGATTGGAATTCTTCCAGGATTGAAGTGGAAAGACATGCTCGTTTTCTTGAGCAGGAGTGCTATGAGAAATATGGAAGAACAGGGAAATCGTTCTATTATTCGCAAGTGGCCAGTACCGTGCGGTGGCTGTCGACAGCTAGTTCTACAGAGTTAACCAGTCGGCTTAGCATCACCGATGACCCTTGTTCAGTCTCAGAGAAGAATACACGACTCCCTGCACTGGCATCTCCTGCGATGGATCTATCGAAGTCAGAAATTAGTAATGAAGTATTTCACAGCAGCTCTGTATTGGAAACTTCCACATTCAATTTATCAAAACAAAGTGCTTCCCCTGCTCCTCTTTTGCCTCCAATCCCGTCCTTTGCAGAATTTGTCATTGGCAGAATGGAAAACGCGAGTCAATCCAACAGAGATGAGAAATATCCTGTGAAGAGGATCAGGTTGGTGTAGACTGACTCGGTTTATAGGGCCGTAGGGGCTCCGTTCGTTTTCTTTTGTCGTGTTTCTTGTTCTGTTCCAACGATTAAGAGAGTAGAGCTGGAAAGACAGCTATATGAATGATATTGCTGATGACGAGGATGTTAGTATTCGAGAGCTTTTGGTTGGAAATATTTTTGAATCTGTACTATGATCCCCGGAGATGGGTTTCTGTTAATTTTTCTTGTTTCCTCCTAATTTGATTTAGGAGTGATTTTTTTGAATGATAACTGAGGTCATTCTCTTTAAAATTTCCGAGTTCGTGAATAGTTCGCACAGAACAATATTCTTGGTATAAGACCAGGCAGTAAGCTTATGATACAAAAAAGAAAAATAGATAGGAAGTTCTATGCATCTTTTAGTTCACATATATGGAGAATAGAATAGAATAGAATATAGTTGCGAAAAAGGTAGAAAGTGCAGACTGAGACACACGTGTGTAAGCAAGTTGATAATATTATACTATACTGAAGAGAGAGGAAATGTTGCATGAAAAGGGAAGTGGGAGGAGGGGAAATTAAGGAAGAGTCAAGGGCAACACTCCGAGGAAGTTGGCATTTAGACTTCCCAAGTAAAGATGGTGGTGGAACTCTAGAGCGCTTGTGACGAAAGATATTACCTTCCCATTTGGATCGTCGAGTTTCGTAAGAATCCTGCCATCGGCATCCACTTTGACCACCATTGCTCTCCGCCGTGCGCCGTTTAGCACCTCATACAACTTCAACTTGGGAAAACTGGCCACAATCTGCCTCACAATCTTAGACCTCACAAACAACTCCGACCCATCACGGATAGGCTGCGCATGCATTCATTTGCTTGCTTAATTAATCAATGCCTTTATCAATCTAGGTACATAAGGATGGCAAATTAATTACCTGAATGAGAGCGATCCAAAAGGAGCCATCTGGAGCCAGGTTTATGTTATCAGGTGCTCCAGGAAGATTGTCTACGAATATTTCTGTTTCCCCTTCTTTCTCTCCCTTCAGCCAATACTTGACACATCTGTATCTGTGATTCTTCCATGTTAAATTAGTCTGAAATTCAAATTCTAATCAAGAGAAAGAGTCAGAGAAAGAGTAGGTACTTGAAGGTTTCACAGACGACCACGTAATGTTGGTCTGCGGAGAGAGCAACGCCGTTGGCAAAATGTAGATTATCAAGAAGGGTTGAAATGTGGTTGGAGGAAGGGTCGTACTTAAGCAGCCGACCATGAGGTTTTGCTTCCAAGAAGTCCAAATACCAATTATGCAGTCCAAATTTAGAGCTTGCATCGCTAAAGTAAAGGCAGCCATCCGCCGCCTCCACCACATCGTCTGCGAAGCTGCAGGTTTCAGTCGCCATTCAAAATTCAAACCGAAGCCGAGGGATAGAAAAGAAAACCAGTAGCAGTAGCTACCAACCTTATGATTCTGGTTTGGTTCACATGAGAAGAAACGAGGACGGAAAATCCATCTTGTTCGTTCACCTTAAGGATGCCCTGCATGCAAATAAAATAAAATGAGATGAGATATTAATTGAGGAAGGAGCTGTTCCAAGGAGGAGTAGCTGTTCAGCGTTGGTTTGCACCTTGTCAGCATCACAAACGATGATTCCACCGTGGTCGGAGTTGGAGGGGGCGATTCCAAGTAGAGTTCGAGAGTGGGTGTTCTTCCAATTCTCCCAGGATCCATTGGGATGCAATCTTTTGATCCAGCCATCTCTGGTAGCCGCGTACAGAATACCTTGGGCATCCACGCAAATATCTTCAGGATCCTTCAGAAATCCGTGTCCCAGTTTGGTGACTTCCTGCAAGCGGCGGTTTAGGGGAAAGACGGCGGCGGGAGAAGGCAGTTGAAGCGGGTGCGGGGATGGGGATATGGGACACAACAATATAACCTGGAGGGAGATGGCGAGCAGGAGGCTTGACAGTGCCGCCACCCATACTCCACCTCCAACCTTAGCAGGTCTCCTCCTGATGCCTCGCGTTTCGGCCATGCCTTTTTACCTTCTAAATTCTAGTCGAGATAAGCCTTTATTTTTTGAAACCAGAAAAATGCAAATTAGAGATAACTCTCACTCTCGGCTGACACCCAGTGCGACACGTAATATAGATATTTCTTACATTATTTAGATATTGTGCTGGAGATAAATTTAGAGACAAACAAGTATTCAAGCTGTCGAAGCTTAGCAGGTGAAGAGCAGTAGAACGAAAGGTGTCAGCAGAGTGGGGTTGTGGAGACTGGAGAATGGGTATTCAAAATGCAAATGCATGCTGCATTTTCTGATCATGATCGCAGCCCCCAACCCTCCTTCCAAATCTTACACCTTTAGATATCACTACCAGGGTTAGTTGTTAAATACCAAAATATTTTCTCTCATTTTAAATACTCTTATAAACAACTCCTTCAAATATCAAATTAAACCATACTGTTTTTGTCCAATTGACTGTTAAAAAGATAAAAGGTACCCAAATATCTCTATATGATATTGTCTGTTTTGGGCATAAGCTTTTCCTTTCAAATGGCAACAGCCTCTTCCTGCTGCTAGGGCGTTGCACGAAACCAAACCGCTCCCCCACCCGATCAAGTACTTGTTGCTTTGTTGGTAGGTCTGCTTAGGTTAGGGGGCATTGTCCCTTAGTTCTTACCAGCCTTCGGTGTGTAATAGACATGTTGCTAGCTTCAACTCGGTGAAATAAGAATCATTGATTCCCCTCTACTGTCTATTTCTTATTCATTCAGAGCGTTCAGTCGATGCATGCTACTTTCTCAAACCATAACAATTCTGATTTTTGCTTTTGGTTTCACTCAAAAGACTTCATAGCAGTGAAGGTAATTGTCTTCGTCTATATACCATGAATCATTTCCTAACCAATGTGGGACTTTGTTTGCATTCTTCTTAGAAACTCAACATGAAGATTTTAAAAGCTTTCGGAACCATCAATTAATACCATAACATTTCTAAGAGAAAGAAACAATTAAGTTTAGAAAGCATTTGTTATATACAAGTTTCACCCAGTTCACATTAACTTAATATACGATTAGATCTAGTTAGGTAGGACTCTTTTTTCTTAAATAATAATAATTAGTTAGGTATGACTTAATTCTACACATTTAGGACAAAATGAACTTTTTAAAACATATGAAATTAGCAAAATTTTGAAAACCTTTTGGAGCTATAATCAAATCAGTGAATTGTCAGTTGGAGCATAGCTAAATGTAAAAGCCTTTCCTACAATTGTTTGTTGAACTAAAAAGAAAAAAATCAAATCAGTAAACAAAGATAAAGTTCTGTATTGATAATTTGGGCTTCATTTTCAAAACCTTCGAGGATAAACATAGGGTAACCTGGAAAAGGGAGATTCCCTCCTTGACTTCGACTTTTGGGGCAAGCATTTCGTAAATTAACCAACCCATTAAACATTCCAAGATTATGATAAAATATAACCCGTCTCAAATAGAATGTAATTCTACATGTACAGTGAATAGTGAGGAAATTAAAATTAAACTTGGAGATTCTACTTCCTATCCAGGATTTTTTTTTTTCTTTTGATTATCTACTTTTGAAAGACATTTTCCAATTTTCTATATAAAAAAGGCCAGTTTTAAAAAAAAAAATTTAATTAACTAATAATTTAAATGTGTTATCAAGAAGAGTGATAAAGATACTAAATAAACTATGAGAATTCGAATATAACTAAAAAAACGAAAAACGAAATAGTTATTAAACCGGGCCTTAAATAGCCATTTCAAATTTGACAAAATTTTGAGGATCATATCTTGCAAGAAGAAAACAATCCAATTTGAAAATTTGATTCTTATTTGTGCATGATTATGAGTGAGGTAGGAATTTATTGGTTTTGGTATATTTTTAAAATATGGAAACTGAAGTAGTCTGAGTAAATGGAAGCGAGGGTAACAACTAAAAAGAAGGATTGAATTCCAAAGGATGAGGATTGAGGAGGGAAAAGTGGAAGTGGCGACTGTTTTAAAGTCCGAAATAGAAAAGGAGAAACCCATTTCATTTAAGGGGCAGAGCGAAAGCCCAGTGGCCGCCTTGTCAATTCATCAAACAGGTAAACTGCATACTGCAATGCAACTCTATTATATTCTATGTATGCATGTTTCTGTTTCGTAAAATGAAATAAAATATGAAATTCTATCTCTCTCAGAACTCAATCATTGAAAAGGCTTAGCAGCTCACGTTAGCAGAGGCCACAAGTCGAACAGTGCCTCGAGGCTGGGGAAAAAATAATGTTTTAAATAAAGCCCTGCCACTGCCCTCTGCGGCCGTGTCTGCTTGGTGAATGGTGATGGTGGCAGTGTGCAGAGCGCGAACCCCACCTCCATTGTCACGAGTCCACTCACCACAAAACAACGTCTTCGGAGATGGACGGAGATAATGACGACGCCATGTCCTTTCCTTTTTCCATCCAATTCCACACTTAACTGGGGTCCCATCGTTTGGGATTTGTGCTCATTTCTTCTGTCTCTCAATTTGGGGTTGCTACACCCCGGCCTCCTCCTTCTTGATGGTTTATGATTCCCATCTCTACACTGCATGCGAGAGTTGTTTGCTTTCTTTCTTAATTCTCTAGCAACCGGCCATAATTTAGACCAAGGATCGTATAAAAGGACACAAATTCTCTATTTTCAAGATCACCTTCCTGACATGCAACCCCACACAGTTATGGCCATTTGCCCATCTATCTCAAGGGTTGGGACCATTTCAGTCTACGTCAAGGCATTCAACCCCGACCCATTAAATTCCTTTAAGTTAGAATTCAACAGCTTGCTTAAATGCACAGATTTGGGGAAGGTTTTAGCTTGCTTTGTGAGTTTAGCGATTGTGCCAACTACAAGCTTGCATTTTCCACAAGAAAGCTGGACAAAGAAAGAAGAAGTTGCCCAGAAAATGAAACAAAGAAAATGTCGGGAAGGCCTTTATTTCTACTGATTTGTTGTGGGCACACAGTCCAGAGTTTGATGCAAGAATTTGTTCAGTAATTATTAAAAAAAAAAAAAGCTTTCTCCTCCCAAGAGAGAGAAGGGAGGATGAGTGGTGTGTCGTTGAAAACTTTGTAAATGAATGTGCTGGTTGTAGAATGCTGTAGTTTCTCTCTCTCTGTATCTCTCTCCTACGTAGTGCTCACGTGGGGTCTGAGATGGTTGCTTCCATCGTGCTTTTCGCTCTTTCCTCTGCAGTGCAGTGGGTGGAGTGGTGAGTCACCAGGGCAGGGCAGCGCCTCTCTCCACCCTACGCAGTCGCAGAGGCAGAGGCAGACCCAGAGAAGGCAAAGACAAAAATCACTGAAAGATCCACACACGCATCCACATGGCTGTATTACTCCTCCAAATTCTCCCCCTCGAGCTTGAGCTCAACTCAACTCCAATCGCCCATCTACTCATCAGACGCCTTAAATTTTGCTAAATGGGTTCGTACAAAACAGACAGTCCCATATGGCCATTTCAGAGCAGCCTTTTTCACCTGCCGTCTTTACCTTTACTATTACCGCCTCCGCCTCCCCTTCCCCTTCCCCTTTCCCTTTCCCTTTCCCTTTCCCCTCTCTCTGTTTTTCTTTCTTTCACTGCAAACCCATCCACCATCCACCATTATTACTCTTTTAAACTCCCCATCTTCCAATCGCATTCCCAAATGAAGCTTGCTTACTTGCATTTATGGGGTGCTGCAAACTTTTCTTTCTTTAGCCCCACTCGTAATCTGTATCTGTCCTTGTCAGGGCGTCTTATTTACCGCTCCCTCACCATCTTTTCTTAATTTGATTACCATTCGTACACTTCATCATTTTCCGCTTCTCACTATTTTCTGCACTGCAACTTCTGGGCATTCATAACTGTACTTGTACCATAAGTGACAACACACTATTCTCTTTCCCTTATGTTTACTTGATTTGTGCCCTGCGCCTGCTTGCTTTCCCAATTCCGTAATTGACCTCTTGCTTCCTTCCGCTTCAGCAATGGCTACTCCCACTCGCGCGCCTTCCTCTTCTTCTACTTCTTCACTTCCATCCCTCCCGCCTC